CCCCCCTAAAAAGGTAAAAGAAAACATGCTCTGGTCTTTTCGCTTCTCGAGGGATAGAAGTCACGGCCTGATGTGACGATTCTGGCTGTGTAAATTCCACCCAGTATGGCTAGTCCCCAACACTGCAATTTTTTGCAAACTTCGCAGTAATGCTGCAGAACCTGAGAGAGGACATTATTGTAGAGCAATCGACGACGTGGTTCCTGCTGTTCACTTGGAGTTAAAATTGGAAAAACGTTTAAGATCGGGCGATCAATCTGGAACGGGAATTCCCGATATAGCTCCGCGCAAAGCCAATTCCAGAATTCGAGACAAATCTTGAAAACTTCCACATCGTCCACCATGCTAATCTTCAGCAAATATTGCAGCGCCTGCAAGGAGTTATACGGACATCAATTACTCGCGATGCCTGCTCCCAGCAGTATTTAATATGCCAAAAAAGAATCGGATTGCTGCCTGTCTGCAACTTGGGGTTTCGAGAACTCAAACACTGCATAAGCACGTCGCAAAGCCCATTCACTGGCGTTAACCACAGATAATAACTAGACAGTACTGATAAGTTCGATGTCTTAACGAGTTAAACATAACTTCAAAAACAGTTACTTAATCATTTTCAAAGAGTGAGGTTACTTAAATCATTTTCAAAGAGTGAGAAGTCGAGAAACCGACGTATGCGTACTGCACCGCTGAGAGTTTTATCAACAAGGAAGAAGTAATGTCACTGTTGCTCTTGGAGAATGAGTTAAAAAACATAAAAATATCACAGTGAAGGTGCCCGAAAATGAGAGAGTGGGATGGTGGCAATGTTCAGCTTGAATACACAGTTAACAATGGAGTTGAGTCAGCTCCAAGTCACAGTTACTAAGTTAACAAACAGGTCCAGTACACTTAACTAATGGTTTGAAATAAAAAAGTAATGAAAATGCTGACTCTTCTCAAACCATCCAAATGAAGACCGGTTTATGTAAAAAATGGAGGACTGGTATGAAAATGAAAGCAAAAAGTTATCGCTCGTGGCTTTACCATTTCATGTGCCTTTTTCAAGTCGGCTTTCTCTTGACCGTTATCGCTTTCAAGGACCTCACAGATTTGGTAATTTTCCTTCAGAAATGTGCCCAAGAATTGTGCCAAATTAGCGATAAATTTCTGATCGGAATCCGTACCTCTTCGATATGCGCTGCAGAGATCAACACTGGGGTCAATTGTCCCCACTATCTGAAAACACACAGCTGGTCATTTTTCAACAAAACAAAATCCGTTCCCAAAAAAAGTGATCTCGTCCATCAATTATCCCTTAACACATCATATCTTTACGCCCGGTTTGCCAATGCTTCGGTGTGATTACAAGCTGAATTACAGTCGATTCAGCCGCACCACCACACTTCTGCTCGTACCATTTGAACGAACGATGTAGCACCCATACACATACGTCTTCATGGAGCTTTAATGATCCTCTGCAGAAGAAACTACTCCACCTTGTTGCTGCTTAATTTTCAAACAGTCTCAAAAGAAAGAACTAATTCATGGATCCGCTGATCCACATCGACTGCTACACAACCATCACAATGAGTCACTTCTTCATCCGAACGGTTCTTCGACAAGAAAAGAAACCACCGTAGCTAGTTGGTGCTTCATTTTTCTGGCGTATGGGCATCAGTAACTATCCCACTGATCCATGATTCAACATAAAACTTTTGCAGCAAAAAGAATCGTCCAAAAAACCTGATCTGATGCGGCACGCAAAAGTGTTGTTGATTTTGCTGTAACGTAAAATGCAGGAGTACTGAGCGAGAGAGTGCGAGAAGATGCAAACCCCAGCTATACGAGAGCGCCACTCACCTGGAGCATAGCATGTGTGAACAGCGATTTCAGTTTACTGATATACAATTCACTTCTCTGCGTAACATGACTGAGGACGTTCAGTGATGCGATTTCCGTCAGGCACTGTACCGTCACGCAGCGAAACATCGGCACACCGAGAAACTGCAAGATAAGAAGACATTGCGCATTTACTCACTGCAGTACCCCAAATCCCCGTCAAGGAAACGTGAGAAAACCCGACGTTTTGTTTCTCGTCTGCAGTGGGCAATATCAACGCGAAGAAGCACACCAGGCAAATGCAGCGATCAAAATTCATGCTGTGTTTTTGCATAATTTTTGTGGAAAAGAGGACGAACTTATGCATATTAGTTATATTAACTGTAGTAAAAAACGCCTTTGTACCATGCCAGCCCTGCTGCTCTTTTTCCTTACCTGTTCGTGCACAACTTCCAGGAGAAACAACAGACAAACAACATCTGACGACTGCTAAAGATAACGAATTTAAGGGAAACCTTTTGCGTAAGCAATTCAGTGAGATTGGTCTCAAATATGTAGCCAACCGGTATCCAACTCAAGAAGCGATGCAACGTATGCAGCGTGGCTTCAACCAATGCTGCATTGTCAGACGATTCCTGAAAAACCGGATCGATGTGTTTGTTTCGCAGTAAAGGCTTGTACGCTTGCCAGCGCGTGCATACAAGCCGCAATGGCCTAACCATTATTGAGCACATGAGAAAATATCTGAGTAAGCGGATTTCACAGCCTTATAAGTGGGCCTGGGATCGACTGCCAGCTTGAAAATAACTGACAGTGATTTTTGTCCACCAAAAGTAACACTGCCAGTAGCATGGTAGCACCGAAAGCTGTCATCACGAACAGATCAGAACAGCATAGACCAGTCCAGCTGCACACTCATTTCACGCTCGTTCAATTTCAGAATCACACACAACGGAGAAACAACTGCTTTTTATTAGGGTCAACACGACTCGAAAATTTTAAATTCTGTGCTAACTTCAATGATCATGGAACAGCCAAATGTAAGGTTAATTTTTCTGAAAACTGCAGCTTATATGGTTTAGGGTTTGTGAGCTTCACCACTCTCCTGAATAAACATCTGATAGGCGCTTAATCCTAAGAAGCCCTTGCATGCACCCAGAGAAAAATAATCAAAATTTTACATTTAAACAAAAAATGATTAAATATTTGTGCAACGTCCAAGGAAAACTTGAATTGGAAAGGCATGCTACTATCGTAGCAATTCAGTGGATTCCTTATTGAGGGATGCTGAAACCGAGTGCTGGCGATAGTGGAAATAACTGTTAACAAGTTTTTTTTTTCTTCCAGAGTTAGCTTACCTTCACCCAGACCCTGTTTATCAACCAATCAGTGTCTGGGAGAAGTTAAGCTAACGTTGTAAGAATCGCTCGTAAGCAATTTGCACGTCTACTTGCAATTGCAGTAGTCAGAGCAAGCTGAGAGCCAACGACAGTGGAAGCACAGCCAATTACATCAATGAATACTTGCTATGCACAGAGAATCAATGCAATGGAAATGGAGAGGTGAAAATGAACAAAAAGTGGCGCAGATGGCCTCTTAACTCCCGATAACGATGGAGATTTCACATTACAGGTCAGCGTGAGCGGAGGGAAAAGCGCTGATGTAAAATTTGTCGGAATTAATAAAAACAAGGCTCCTCACCATGATCTTGTGGCAGAGCGAGAACACTGCCTCAAACTCGTCACAGAATGTATTCTTCAAATGATGCGCCTTCGCCTGTGTCACTTCGCTATCAAAGTCGAACACCTCTTCACTGTAACAAGCAAAAATTATGTATGCTTCATCGTTATCTTTACAGGAAGACAGCAAAACACAACGCTGTCTCGCTTCAGTCCGCAGTTACAACCAATCTATCATTGGACAAAATATCACTGCCCAAAAAAAGTGCGTAGCAATTTCGGAGCAATAAATCTTGAAAATCACAGCGCAGCTGCGCTAGATACCATATCTGGCAGCAGCACAGTGAAATCCCCTGTACTCGGTGCGCCGGCGGTCTTAACAAACAATTTCTATTCCAATAATTCGTAATAAAAATCACACGCTTCAGCAGTGCGCGTCAATTCCATTCTACCACGATAGGTGCCAAGGGAAGCTGCCCAGGCACAGGAGATCAGCCCATGCTTGCGCCGAGGAAACCGGATGACGCAAAAGCGGCCGAGAAAAGAGCATTAAGTCGGTCTACATTCGTAAATACTGAATACGCTAACTATGGGCCAACAGTATGATGCAGCTGGGACTCAATGGGACGACTGCAGGCCTTTTCCCCACATCAACTGGCTGTCTCGAGTAAACAGCTGCGTCTTCCAAAGAAGAGTGCGAGCGAACCCGGTACGGCGCTGATTTCCGGAACCCAAGCCGCCAGCAATTCCCTCCCAATTTCTTTGAAATTATGAAAAGTACTGAATTTATGTCTGAGAAGTTCAGTCATCTTGAAGAAAGGGGTCCAGGGAAGTAAAAAATGCAGAAGTTTATCAGAGAGAATCCAAATCAAAAAGAGTCCAATTACGAGACCTTAGTAAACGCAGGATAATCATATTGTTCAAGCAGAGATTGTCGTTCACACGGCTCGCACCAACGATGTCAGCCATAAACGTTGGCCACTGTTTCGGCCATTCACGCTTCACAATCTGAAATGAAATAAAAAGGATCTCCGCTGTATATTTTCAGCGACAAAGCTAAAACGAAGCCAAAATCTTATTGCGATAGTTTTCAGGTTCGCTCTGCAACTAAAAACTGCCTCTGGGCACCGCCAAAGAAACTGTGCTCAATCATGTTCCATGCCCTCGTGCCCACAATTCTTTACACAGATGTAACAGTTTTGGGACAAGCATGACGAAGACGGCGGATCAGAGAAGGAATCCGATGGGAGCAGGCATAACAGCTTTAGAAAGTGCGAACGCATCAGAAAATCAGCATCAACTTTTGAATCTGCCCAAACGCTTACAGTGGAAAAGAGGAGTCACTCGCTGTTTATTCAACAAATTATTATTCATTCATTTTTTACTAAATTAAAAAATGTTGTATTAAACGCAGTATGAATAAAGTCATTAAGTCATCTAGTGCCATGCGTGAACGTTCACTAACCTGCACGAGAACCAAATTCAGCTTCTGCAAATACATCTTCATCGGCGGAGTAAGGCTTTCGCCGCTGCTGATCTTTATGATAAGGTCGACGATGAACGACTTTATGCCTGAAATGCGCTTAAAATTTGTTCGAGTGAGTTATATGCCAGCACTTTTACGATTTAAACGACGGAAAAACGACTACCTTCGCATTGCTCTCGAGGAAGAGCTCGCCAGCGCGTTTCGATCAGGGATTCAAGTATCTGCAGAGCATAGTACTTCGTTTCCATAAACTGACTGTACTCAAGAATGCCGTCCACACGTGTCCACGACGATTCCTTTTGCTTCAATTCTGTCAGGATTTTTGATGCGAGCTGCTGGGTTTCACCCGTTGACCGGTTCATCACAATTACAACCTTGAAAGCAAAGGACTTCTACATGCAACCTCAGAAATTACCATCAACTGCGCTGCTTGCTGCGGTCGCGGAACTAACAAATGCGTTAGCTTACTTTTTATTACGGCGATTTTTGGCCTATTGCATACGTCAAGTGCAGACATTTCAGTGTTTCCGATCATAAGCCATCCAGCAGCTGCTGGCAGGGAACAGGACGGGTTAGCTCACTTATAAAGCTGAACAATTATCGTGAAACAAAGTGCTGCACAGCATCTTCTCAGCTTTATAAAAGTTACCGGGGACGATGGAGAGGTGAGAAACTTGCAAAGCTGAACTTTTGGCAACTTAGTCTACCGCAATGGATTCGCCTTAAAAAAATAAGAACTTATATCCTACCAGTTCTCACGTATGGACACGTGAAAGATATTTTGTAACAGTACGATTAGACAAGTTAGAAGGCTGAAACTTTATGAAGATTTCCCTCGCTCGTTTGTAACTCAAATAACTTAATCCTTCAAGCACCCCTGCCTCCCCATCCAAGTCTCAATACGTTCATATGCTCGAATTGGCACCGTGCCAACATGAGCAATAGACCGAATGGAAAGCTGTAGAGAAACATAATTTCAAGATGCTGCCTGCTGTTCACTCACGTGCTCGTGAAATTAAATTGATATTTCGTACCTTTCTAAATTTCAAGTAAGACGACGTGAAATTTGACGTGGACAATTTTGCGATTTCGGAACTGAAGCAGCTAAAGTGCTGAAATTTTCTGAGCATGGCCAACGACCGTTTTTGAGAAGGTGTGCCGAGGAAACTACTCCCACGTTTCTCCACGCATGAACATACGAAATTTGATGCAAATTGGTGATCAAAGCAGCTGGAGTGCTGGAATTTTTCACGCACTGCCCACAAATATATCCGGATCAGATGCATGTAAAAAACAACTTTAACGTTTCCCCCGCGAGCGAACAAGTGAAATTTGACGTAACTTCGTAACCAACGCAGCTAGAGTGCTGAAACTTCCTGGGCATGGTTCACCACCGTGTTCACTGAGGACCACTGTGATAATTTTGATGGCCATTCTACAAGTGTCTGCCAGAAAAACAGTGCTACTTAGTGATAAGCATCTGCGCGGAAAACTGTGCAAAAGGCAAGCCTGGTGCGTTGCTGAGTTCGAAGCTGTTCCTCAAAAACAAAGGTGAGGGTTGGCCAAAGCCCACTCATTTGAAATCATTGCACTCACAGCGATGAGTGCTGAAAAAATCCATCGACAAGTGCTATGCTCATGCCCGGGCACCAGGCTCAGCCCTCAAAAGAAAACGAGGGGCGCAACATTTGCACGAAAATGCGATGCGTACAAAAAAGCTTCAGAAAGTTGTTGAGAAAGAATAACCTGATCCAGCAACGGTATTTCAATTCTGTCGGAGGAAAGCAGCGCCTCACCGGCTTGTTGCAACGCCATAACGTCCATCATCGCCATCACGGGGCTGATCCAAATGCTCGGCTGCTCGGAGAAGAAACACACGCGCGCTCGATACACACTCACTCAGACTCTCTCGCACGCACGCACGCACGCACACTGCTCAAGACACCGTGGATCCTGCTGCTAGTGCGTACTGAAAAATACAACACCGCACATACCATCATCATCATCAGCAGAAAAACGTAACGCGCCCGCGTACCAATGCATTCCCGAGAGCACCGCGCACCACCGATGCAGTCCTGCCGGGGCACGCAGCGGGGCACCAACAAGACCAGCAACTGACCACCAGGACGCGCCTCCCCCTCCCCGCACTTGATGCCAGTCCCTGTGCAAATATGCACACACCGGGCAGTGCGCAGCAGCCAGTCCTCGCCGAGTCACGCTGGCGAGTGCCCGAGGAGTGGACTAGCGCAAAAGCGGCACGAAGCTATTCAGGAAAGCGGTGGCACATCGCCCTTGCCAGCAGAAGTTAAGGTCATCGCGTGCTTCATACACCAAAGAGAAATGGCCCTCGTAAAGGGTCGCAAAACGACCACCGTTTCCCGCACTCCGCTCCAACCCGCAATCTGTGAACACCATCCGGAAGCCCAACAGTGGAACGGTGGGGGGCTGCAATGTCCGAACATCACCAATGGCCGACCGGGCAAAACCGACTGCATCCTGCTTTTAGCGGAGAGAGCGTGCTGAAGTTCCGTTGAACTGAAGCTAAAACACATGAGATGGCGAAGATGACAACCAGTCCGGTATGGTGGTCACTCGATGCGAAGAACAAGCCAACGGCCGAAGGAGGGAGAAAGGCAAAACAGCGCAGTGCTCAGTTTCATTATTCGGACATCAAGTACTCTCTCCTTAGTTGAGTGGT